GAACCCCGTGGGAAGCACCTTGCCTGCTCCAGCCCCACAGTGCTTTGGGGTGCAGGGGATCTGTGCCCACCTGGCAGTGCTGGAAGGGTGGGACACCCCTTCGTTTCCCGAGGGGGTAGAGGCAAGAGATCCTTCTGTGCACCTGCATTTCCCTCTAGACAAGGTGTCCCTGACAGCCCTGCCAAGCCTTTCCCCCCCTGCAAGGAGCCCCAGTCACCAAGGGGGAGCTCAGTACAGAGACCCCAGTGCCCTGGGGTGCTGCAAGCAGCTCTTCTCCCAGCCCTGCTCCAGCACCTGGGGAGAAGCCACCCAGGCTCCAGCACTGCCCCCCAGCACTCACACACCCCAGAGGGACAGGACCTGCCCAAGGTCGTGCAACCAGGGCCCAGCCTGGCCAGGGCCCTTCCCCTACCAGCCCCTGTTGCCTGAGAACCCTCCAAACTCCAAGCCACGTGTGCTGGCCAGGGAGTCATCACCCTGGCCTCCCTCTGTGCTGCTGACACATCCCCACCTGGCAGCAGAACCTGCTCCTCGCTGCTCCTGGGCCACCCCTTGAGCAGTAAAACCCCAAACCCCACAGAGAACCTTGACGTAGCACCCGGGGCTTGTTCTTGCTTTGAGGTCTGAGGGTGGAAAAAAAGAAGGGACCCCAGGGGAAGCAACCTGAGCAACCAGCTCTGCCCAGGCTGGGGGACAAGGAAAGAGCCAGGGAGCATGGGAGAGGAGCTGCCAAATCAACTCTGAGCCTGCAACCCCTGTGGTTTTACCCAGCTGAAGGACGAGGGGGAGGAAAGTTTTGCTGCCACCTCTGAGTCTCTGATGCTGCAGCCCCCTCCCCAGGGCTGGTGTCCCCCAGGCACCCCCTCCACTCACTCACCTGTGGGCCGGGTGGCTGGTCAGGGGCAGGAGGCTGGCATGGCAGGGGGCAAGCAGCTGGCCCTGGGGTTGATGCCCGCGGGTCTGAACCAATCCTGCCTCCTCAGAGCACTCCCTTTGGGGCTGGAGGAGAGGGGATGATGTGGAGGGGCAGGCAGGACCCAGACCTTTGAGGGGGACAGGCCAACCCCTCCAGGCTCAGCTCCTCCACCCTGCAGGGAATGGACGCAATGTCCGGAGGGGGCTGAGCTGGAGGGCTGTGGGGCCACTCAAAAACACCACGGCAGAAATTTCAGGGCTCAGGTTACGGGGCTGGATAAATATAGTGACTTTATCTGACCTCACGGGGCGCCGAAATGCTCCTCTCGCATTCCAGCTTTCAGGGAGGCTTAAAGGGGACGTGAAGCCATAGGGGGCTGGTGGCCCGTGGGAAGGGGCTGCTGGAAGAGGAGGCTGCGGAGGAAAGGGGAGGGTCTGGGAATGAAGAAGGGTAACTGAGGGTAAGTGTGGGGAAGGGAGAGATTTGGGAGGGAGATGGAAGTCCAGAAGGGAAAGAATGGATAGAGGGATTGAGAGAGGGAGCAGGGTGGGACACAGCTTGGTGTGGGGGTCAGGGAGGCAGAAAGAGGGGGTGCCCTTGGCTGCCAGTGGGGTCTGCAGCAGAGCATTAAGGGCAGGAGATGGCCTGGATATTTTCCCCCCCGTGGGACAAGCCTTAGGGCTTCCTAAGGCTGCAGCAGAGGTGGGCAGGGGGCAGCCAGCCTGGTGGTGCAGGGGCAGGACCACCCACCCCTCATGACTCTATAGGGACACCAGGGCACCCACCCTGACCCGCCCAGCACGGCGTGGCTGGTGAGACGCTGGCACCTGGGGGGCTGTGACTCAGAGAGCACCTGCCAAGGGTAATTAGGAGGGCTGCAATTATAGTGGCATTTTCCTCCCTCCTACCTGGCTCCAGCCCTTAAACAGGGAGGGTCACACAAGGGATGCATCTGGGTGTCACCCTGGGAGGGTGACCAGCGGTGTCTGGGGATGGTGGCAAGTCCTGCTCCCAAACCTGAGGGTGTGCCCTGTGGTCTCTCCAGCTGCCAGGGTGCCATCCTGGCCCTGGGCAGGGAGCTGCTCCTGCTGCTCCAGGGGGTCTGGGGGCTCTTGGCAGCCCCAGGGGCAGAAACACACCCAGCCCTGTCCCCACCTCAGCAACTCCCTCCCTGGAGGGTAGCTGGGCCAGGAGCAGCCCCAGGATGCCTGCTGGTACCTACCTTGCTTTGCCCCCCTGTTGACATGGTGGGCAGCAGCTCTGGCCCTGAGCTCACAATGGGGCTTTGGGAGCAGTGGGGATGGGAGCAAAGGGCCTGGGGTGCAGGGGTCTGTGTGCATGGGGGGGGGGGGG